TACAAATGACCAAGAGACATATGAAGAAATGTTCAAAGTCACCAATCATCAGAGAGATGCAAATTAAAACGACAATGAGGTATCACCTCACACCGGTCAGAATGGCTGTCATCAACAAATCAACAAATTGCCCTAGCTGGTTTGGCTCAGTGGATAGAGCGTTGGCCTGTAGACTGAAGGGTCCCAGGTTCCATTCCAGTCAAGAGCACATGCCTGGTTGCAGGCTCAATCCCCAGTAGGGGTGTGCAGGAGGCAGCCAATCCATGATTCGCTCTCATCATTGATGTTTCTCTCCCTCTCTCTTCCTCTCTGAAATCAATAAAAATAAATAAATAATTTTTTAAAAGATCAATGGAAACTTATCCTCAGGTGAGGATTAACAAGAAACAAAACAAATCAACAAATGATAAGTGCTGGTGAGGATGTGGAGAAAAGGGAACCCTGGTACACTGCTGATGGGAATGTCGACTGGTGCAGCCATCATGGAAAACAGTATGCAGTTTCCTTCAAAAAATTAAATATGGCACTGCAATTTGATCCAGTGATCTCAATTCTAGGAATATATCCTAAGAAACCCAAAACATCAACTGGAAAAAATGTATGCACCCCTATGTTCATAGCAGCACAATTTATAATAGCTAAGATATGGAAACAGCCCAAGTGTCCATTAGCAGATGAGTGGATAAAAAAGTTGTGGTACAGCCCTAACCGGTTTGGCTCAGTGGATACAGCATTGGCCTGCAGACGGAAAGGTCCCAGGTTCGATTCCGGTCAAGGGCATGTACCTTGGTTGTGGGCATATCCCCAGTAGGGGGTGTGCAGGAGGCAGCTGATCGATGTTTCTCTCTCATCGATGTTTCTAACTCTCTATCCCTCTCCCTCTCCCTTCCTCTCTGTAAAAAATCAATAAAATATATCCAAAACACCAATTTTCAAAGGGCAATAAATGTAATAAATAAATACATACATAAATAAACTACCTAACTGAATAAATGTACATATTAAAAAAAAAAGTTGTGGTACATTTACACCATGGAATACTATGCAGCTGTAAAAAAGAGGGATCTCTTACCCTTTGAGATAGCATGGAGGGACCTGGAGAGTATTATGCTAAGCAAAATAAGCCAGTCAGAAAAAGACAAGTATCACATGATCACACTCATATGTGGAATATAACGAACAAAAAAACTGATGAACAAAATAGATCCGGAGATATAGAAGCATGGAACAGACTGGAATCTCAGAGGGAAGGCGGGAAGGGAGGGTGGGTGGAAAGAGATCAATCAAAGAACTTGTATGCATATATGCATAACCCATGAACACAGACAATAGGGTGGTGAAGGCCGGAGGGGGGGCGGGGAAGAGGCCAATGGAGGGGGGGGGGCAGCGAAGGGGTAATATATATAACTTTCAACAAAAAAAATTTTTTTAAAAAAGGCTTGTTTCCATACTTTTTTCCCTTGTTAACTCTGCTCTACATTCTCCTTCCCCAACAAGTCTTTCTAGCCTAGTGACCACAGCTGCTCCCCTCCCCCACAGCCCTAAAGGCTAGTACTTTATTTTGGAATGAACAGTGTATATGATGCTACATCCCATAAATTATGTCTTCCCGTCAGACTTAAAGCTGGCTTCTCACGAGCAGGAACTATCAGACTATGGAAAGATCATTGGGTGAGAGTTGGAAAAAAAACACACAAAAACAAAACAAAACCTGGTGAGGGCTGAGCTTTAATTTTGTTTGTGACTATTTTTCCTTTAAGTTATTTGTATGTGTCAGTAGTTGTATGTTACAGAAAGTAGAGTGTGGATTTTTCCCCCAGCAGTTTTTAGCTATAATAAAAGTTTGTGCTCAAGTCTCGTATTGTTATCTTTACCCAATCCTATCATGTTTCATGACTAGCTGTGAGATCTTGTAAGATTTCACTTCCAATAGCCATACCAAGCATCTCCATAAGGTCTCTACACTGAAACTACATTTTAAAAATACCTGAGGTATGATGAAGATGTCAACAGTCTTTCTGGGATTCTGAAAATACCAAGGCTTTCCTTATCTTGAGCAAATTAAACTAGCTCGCAGTTGACAACTGAGCTCAAACATAAGCCACAGAGGACATTACCCCATCGAAGCTTGGATACTTAATACATTTATCAAATTAATTTCTAAGTTCTCCTCCCAGTACTATCAGACTTCTTTCTTTTCTTTTTGTAATCCTCCCCAAGGATATTTTTTCATTGATTTTTAGAGAGTGGAAGAGAGAGGGAAAGAGAGAGGAATATTGATGTGAGAGAAACACATTGATTGCCTCCTGCATGTGCCCCCAGAAGGGCCCGGGCCAGGGAGGAGCCTGCAACCAAGGTACCTGCCCTTTACCGGAATCGAACCCGGGACCCTTTGGTCCGCAGGCCGAAGTTCTAGTCACTAAACCAAACCGGCTGAGGCAGACTTTCCCGAGTGCTGTCTTTCACCAACAGAAACAGTTGCACAAAGAAGGCTTTGCTGCTGCCTCCAGATTGTACGTCCACTTCTATACTGCGGGCTGTGGATTTCCTTTAGTTTTTACTTATTTATTTAAAAAATATGTTTTTATTGATTTCAGAGAGGAAGAGAGAGAGATAGAAACATCAATGGTGAGAGAGAATCATTGATTGGCTGCCTCCTGCATGCCCCACACTGGGGATGGAGCCCGTAACTCCAGCCTGTGCCCTGACTGGGAATCGAACTGTGACCTCCTGGTTCGTAGGTCGATGCTCAACCACTGAGCCACACTGGCTGGGTGGGCTTGTGGATTTCTTAAACGCCTTGAACATCATATCCATGAATAAAAAAGCTTCTAACAGTATTTTGTCCTAACCAAATCTGACATTTTTATTGTCCTGATAAAAGATCAATTCTGTGAGATAATTTCACTGTTTAAAAAAAATAT